ATAAGATTGTCCTCCAAATCAATGAATTGAGAAGCCCGCTGCTGTGCCCTCGCAGACTGACAGTGACCGCTCCTACTGGCACTTCATAAACGGTCTGGAAGTCCAAGAGAGCGAGGAGTTATTTTGGGAATCTCCTTGATATCATTAACAGGAAGCTCGAATTCGGAGGTTTCAGCAGTAGTAACAACAGGTTCCTTAGCAGCAATAGGGGTATCAATACTTCTAGGTTCCTTAGCAGAACATGCTCAGTGGAAGTTATAGGTTTCTCAACCTCCATCTCAGCAGAAAATTTTAGAACACTATTAGCAAAATCATCGACATTATCATTCTTTTGACCATCAGAAACTTGTTTCTTTGGATGGTTTACTTGGGAGGACTAAGGTGCCACCTGGCCAGACCGCTGCAGGGTCCTTCATAGAGGATGTAGTTCTCCGGGCCATTAACGCCTCATGTCCTGAAGTAACTTCCCTCGGCCAGTTTCTAGGTTCTTGCTGGCTCCCCACCGTAGAAGAAGAGGGCTCAACTTCAGCTCTGCTGGGCCCAATAAGGTTTGCAGGGATCATAGTACCAAAGACAGATCTTAGCTTAGTGGGGGCCAAGCGAATTTCACCCTTCAAGGCACCAGCGTGAACCTTTAGAGTGTCAAAAAGCTCAAAAGGGTTGTTAGGGGTGGCGGTGATAAGTTCCTTCCAATTGTTTTGTAGACCGAGAATTTGTCTGTTCAACTTTTCGTAACCTAAACAAAAGAAAAAAAAAATCAACAATAGAAAAGAGTATAAGATTAGGACATATAGAAGTAAAAAAAATAAAATAAAACAAAAAAAGGAATACAGAAATATCAGGCTCATGAGTAGAGCACAAGCGTATGGCAAATTACTACGTGTTGCCTATAACGTAAAGAGAGTTGGGTAGCCAAATCTTGGGATGCCTAGAATCATCATTACTAGCTCCCTGCACCACATATGAAGCTTGTGTCTCTTGAGCAGTCTTAGAAGGAACGACAGTAACCCCAGCCATGTTAGTGCGAATGATTTTATAGTTACGCGGAATTGCAAAGGACGAGGGAACGGAAATCCAAAAGAACTTTCCAGTCCAGTCCTTCAAGCAACCAAGCTTGGGATAAGACAACACTCTCCCCTCCTTAGGAGCCACATAATACCAACTAGACTCAGAAGAGTTGGAGGATGTTCTCTTCAAGCTCATAAGAGACTTGAATAAATTTAGCGATTCAAGATAACGCTGAAAACTTAAAAACCATTGCAGGCAGATCAAGGTGTGCAAGGAAGCAGGGTGCAGCAGGGCGATGCAAAGATTGAAAGCACGAAACACCTTGTCTAACGGAAATTGCAATCCCCTAGTAGAAATGTGCCCAGCATGAGGAGCATACAGCTTTGAGCCCTCAGCACTAACCAGCCTGTAACCTGGCCTCAACCCATAAAACCTTTGGCCCACTACCGCAAGGTCCAACCTCTTAGCGTCCTTATGCCAGTTGGAATCCAATGTGCAGTTCTTAGGACCATGGTACCTTTCGTCCCTTCCTCCACAGGCTTAACAACATAGCAAGGCTGACAGTCATGAAAAGCCTACTCACTAGGAGACTCCGCAACTTTTCTCATGTTCTTCACAGGAGAAGGAGATGGTGTAGTAGTTAGAGAATGACCATCCCCCATTAACAGTGATCAAACCGATTCACATCAGCCATGTCATTAAGCCAAGCAAAACTGTTTAAAGGCTAAACATGGGGAATGGGGCTAACAAGAGACACATCAGAAGGATTAGCCTTAACCTCATCGAGTAATTGTTTATGGCGTATCGTGCGCATTCTCAAGCGCATGACATGCGAGAGGGAAACTCCATTATAAGTGAGTTCCTGCTCGCAATAAGGATCAAAGAAATCAGGGCGGGTCTTAGAACGAAAAAGGCAAAAAGGGTTGCTGGCAGCGGGACGACTACCACTCGACCCAATTCAAGTAGATGGGTGGCAGAAGTACTCAACCTGCTCCCAGCATGAAGTGTTTCACCTAGCATAACTACTTTCAAGGGAATGGGGGGAAAGGCAGGAGAAGCAAAAGAAGTTCGCTCAAAACACTCACCTGAGCGAGACGGCTCAGGGGAAGAAGCAGACTCGATATCATACTGTTAGTAACGTCAGAGATCTTAAGATCTACAAACAATGAAAAGACCCTCAAGAGACGAAGAAAATTAAGGAGTAAAAGCAAAATCAGTTGCGGCCCAAAAAGCAAATTCACAAGAGACAAAGCATGAAAAGAGAAAAACTTACAGAGAAGAATAAAAAAAGCGTAGATAAACAACAACAATGTAAAAAATGAATAAGAAAACTCAAATTCGAGGAAGAAGACTCAATCTTGCGAACAAAAAAGAAAAGAAACGCAATTGAGTACACAAAATAAAAGGAAAGGAACAAAGGAAGTACTTTTTTGAAGAAAAACCACAACAGTGGAAAATGGGGCGAGGACTTCGAACTACAACCAAAGGCAAAAATAGTCCCAATGTAAGACAAAAAATTGAAGAAAGTAAGCAAATACATAAAAAAAATAAAACAAAACGAAGACAAATGAGGAAAAAGGGAAGAACTTAAAACAACAACAAGAGGCGACAATCGTTTCTAGAAAGGGTAAGGGCGATAAGAGAAAGGAGGGAGAAAAATTTGAAAGAGAAAGATAAAAACTGAGAAATGAAAAGGGGGAAGTAAAAAGGGGACAGTGAAATTAATGCAAGAGTTAATAGGCGGTTTAGTCAATCACTAAAACCAAACTGCCATATCACTTCAATAAAAATAATCTGAGCCACGGATGACTGACACGTGCCCCATGCATGCAAACACTGTTCCCGACAGAAAATATAAAATAAAAAATTTCATATCTCAAACTTCAGTGGGAGTAATCGAAATTCCTCCCTACAAGATCGTCATTTCTAAAACTTCAGCGGGAGTAATCAAATTTCCTCCTTGTAAGCTCATCCTTACTCATATTTTAGCGGGAGTAATAGAAATTCCTCCCTACAAGCTCGTCATTTCTCAGACTTTAGCGAGAGTAATCGAAATTCCACCCTACAAGCTCGTCGTTTCTCAAACTTCAGCGGGATAATCGAAATTCCTCCCTACAAGCTCGTCATTTCTTAGACTTAAACAGGAGTAATCAAAATTCCTTCGTGCAAGCTAGTTATTTCTGAAACTTCAGCGGGAGTAACTGAAATTCCTCCCTGCAAGATCATCATTTCTAAGACTTCAGCGGGAGTAATCAAAATTCCTCCCTAGAAGCTCGTCATTTCTTAAACTTCAGCGGGAGTAATCGAAATTCCGCACAACAAAGTCTTTATCCTTCTAGTGTCAGCAGGAGTGATCAACATCTTTAGACAAAAAGATAATAATTCCCTCACACATAGAAACGACCATCATCAGCAAGTGACAACAAACTCCGCCTTCAAAACTTCGCAGCATATTCTCCCAAGTCTCATAATCGCATAAACAATCCTGAGACTTGAGGGGCTAGAGGTATGAAGGATGTCTTAGCCGGGCTACCTGTTGGACTATTACCGATAAAGTAACACGCTCAAAATAGGTGGCATGAGTAACCTCACACAACCTCTTGAGGGGCTAGTTGTATGGGATAGCTCTTGCTGAGCTATTCCCTCCCAGCTGAGCCCATTTAGAGGGAAAAAACTGTTCAGACAAGAGCCGGCATGAGTAAACTCATACAACCACTTGAGCGGCTAGTTATGTGGGATAGCTCTTGTTAAGCTATCACAAGGCTCCTAGCTTTGCTAACAAGGTGCGCACTCACCACAGGAAAAACACTCAGAGGAGTTCACCAGCCCGATAGAGCCAGCCTGCAGGCTGACCATGTATGACTCCTCCTAAAGGAGATTGTACACCTATAAATAAGAAACCAAGTACAACGGAAAAGAGATTAGACACACAAGTTGTTACATACTCTCCATCTCTCAAAGTACACTTTCTCTCTCAAGACACATTCTAACATAAGCATCGGAGGGGGGTTCCTCAAGCCACCCCCGAGGGTAGTCACGTGTGTTTCCTTGTGCAGGTTACTAGCTGGACCTAGCCTGCCCCAGTCTAAACCCTAGATCTGTACCCGGAATACCAAGTTTTACAAAACGCAACTACTATGGCCCGACGAGGATTATAAATACGGACCGCTTTTCGTTTCGTATTTTTGTAAATATAAATACGGACTGTGTGCCGTTAAGTATTTTTGTACTTAGATTATTTAGATTAGTCCTAGTCACTAGTAATTTCATAATTGGTAGTGAAGTCTCCAGACGGCGTTTCTAAGAAGACGAGGCCAAAAAGATGCAATGATGGCCTTGAAGATTGGATGCTTCAAGTTTTAAGGGGTCATGCTTGTTTGCATCTTTAACTATCTTTTATATATATTTGCTTATGTATATAATTGCGATATTAGATATATGTTTAGGATTTTGAATGTTGAATGATTAATTTAGTTCACTTAAATCAACCAACATAGAAACCCTAAGTACCTATAATATTGAGTTAAAATTTGTCATTCCAAAATGACACTTACCGAACTAATGAGAATAGTAATGAGCTATGCCAAAGCAAGGCATTACTACTTTCTTAGGGAAGTAAGGTATTCTAGGTATACGTGTTAGTTTTGGTTAAACTCAACGATATCGGTAAGGAGTCCTTCGATGTCGTGGCAATGGAGATAAACGTCAAAAAAACATTAGATGCGACGTTTTATCAAACCAAGAATAGCTTAGGGATATTAGAAATTAGATTGCTTACCTTAAAATATTATGTGTAAAGACAAGCCAAAGCATGCTTAATCACTTATTGATTTTATGGGTCTTGGAATCATCTTATCCTCACCTAAAAGGGACAATTCTAATGTGTGGATAAAACACTAAATACGATTGAAAATTCGCATGTATGCTTTAAATTTCTTTCTTATTGGTCTTATGAATGGTTTTTCATTGCAAACTCTTTCATTTATAGCAAAATGTCTGCAACTAACACCAACAAAAACCAGTTTTCTCTCCGCTCAATTCTCGATAAGGAGAAAATGAATAGGACAAACTTCCTTTATTGGCAAAGGAACTTGCAAATAGTTCTCATGCAAGAGCTAAAGGAATACGTCCCTGATGAGGAAATGCACGACGCTCCTAATGAGGAGGTCACACAGGCTGCACTAAACCGATGGCACGCTGCTAATCGGGATGTTAAATGGTTCATGTTTGCCACAATGTCTTCAGATCTTCAAAAGACTTTCTTTGTGAAGGAGACGACTTTTAAGATCATAAAAGAGCAGGCCCGAACGGAGAGGTTCGACACCCATAGGGAAATCCTTAAGAGCAAGCTCAAGAAAGGAGAGCCAATCAGCCCTAATGTGCTCAAAATTATTGGATTATTTGAGAACATGGAAAGGCTTGATGCGCGATGCTCGAACGAGATGGAAATTGACATCATTCACCACTCGTTGCACAAAGATTATGATCAGTTGAAGATGAACAATATCATGCACAACATGGAGAAAACGTTGATCGAGCTTCATGGGATGTTAAAGCAAGCCGAGAAAATGCTCAAGGACGAGGGGAAGTATAACATGCTTATGGTCTAGAAGGGCAAGCCATTTAAGCGATCAGGCAAGAAGAAAGGCTATAAGGGGAAGGGTAATAAGACCTTTCCTTCTAAGTCTAAAGCTACCAAGGGCGACAAGAAGAGAAGGTAGCATCTTCTCAACCCGACTTCAGATGCTTCTACTACAAGAATAAGGGACATTGGAAGCGGAATTGCCTCAAGTTCATGGAGAATAAGAAGAACGACACTGTTGCTTCTAGATAAGGTAAATATAATATAGACATTAACTTACTATCAAAGCATCGTGGGTATTAGATACCGGATGTGGCTCACACCTTTGTTCTAATGCTTAGGCACTAAGGAAAAGTAGAACGCTAGTCAAGGGACAAGTGGAATTACGGGTAGGCAATGGAGCAAAGGTTGCGGTCGTTTCAATAAGAACACTCAGTTTGTCTTTACCCTCAGAGCTTGTTTAAAAACAAGATGAATGTTATCACGTTCCAAACATTACCAAAACATTATTTCAATTTTGGCGTAAGACGACAAAGGTTTTGAATTTCAAATAAGGGACAATAGTAGTTCATTTTATCTTGATAATATTTTATATGGTACGGCATATTCAGAAAATTGTCTCTATGTGCTTCCATTAGACAAATAGGTTTATAATGTTAACAATACTGCCAAAAGGGTTAAGACCAATGACTCGAATCAAACCTACTTGTGGCATTGTTGTCTAGTCCATATAAACATCAAATGCATCAAGAAACTTCTTCATGAAAGGATTGTTGATTCATTCGACTTAGAGTCATTTGAAAACTGCAAAGGATGTCTTCTTGACTAGATGGTAAAACAACCCTTCTCCAAGTTAGGATAAAGGGCTAGTGACTTATTAGGGCTAATACACACAGATGTCTTTGGACCAATGAGGAAAACCTCAAGGAAAAATTATTGCTATTTCATCATATTCATCGACGACTATAGTAGATATGGCTATGTCCACCTAACGTCGCACAAATCTGAATCCTTTGAAAAGTTCAAAATTTTAGAGTGAAGTGGAAAATAATCTTGGCAAGAAAGTCACAACCCTTCGATCGGATCGAGGTGGCAAGTATTTAAGCTATGAATTCGATGACTATCTAAAAGAACACGGTATCGTCTCAAAATTGAGAACTCAACAATGGAACGGGGTGTCCGAGAGGAGAATTCGAACTCTGTTAGACATGGTTCGATCCATGATTGGTCTTACTGATCATCCTATCTCTTTTTGGGGACACGCACTTCAAACCTTGGCATTAACATTGAACCGCGCTCCGTCAAAAGCTGTTAAAAAGACTCCATTTGAATTATAGACGAATAAACCTCCACGGTTGTCTTTTCTTAAGATTTGGGGTTGCGAAGCATATGTCAAAAGACTTGGTTGAGAACAATCTAACAAATGTTTCTTTGTTGGGTATCCAAAAGAAAGAAAAGGTTATTACTTCTACAACCAATCTGATAACAAAGTGTTTGTTGCTCAAGATGGTCTCTATTTAGAGAAGAAGCAACTTTCCAAAATGGTTAGTGAAGGAAAATAAAACTTGATGAAGGTCTAGTAGATGAGCAACAAAATGGATCTAACAAAACTAACAGTCAAAGGGCTTTGGAAGCACCTATTGATAATGGTCAAAGTCAAACTGACAACGTTTAAGAGTCAGATCGACAATGTAAATGCTATATATATTACCCTTCGTAATAGATTTGTAATTTGGGAATTGAATTTGATAGATCATGAAAGTATTTTACAACTTAGATCTCAACCAGACAAATACCTCGGTATCGTCTTAACCGAGAATTAATACATCCTAGTCGTGGATGAAGATGAGCCAGCGACATACAAATAAGCTATGACGAGCCCCGACTCCGCTTAATGGCTAGAAGCCATGAAATCTGTGATAGCTCAAGCCTACGCGTAGCACAACACTATCGCATGGCTGGGCCAGTGCGTGTGTGCGTGTGCGTGTAGGGCATCGCAGCAGCAACACTAGCCTCACCCTGTGCGTGTGCGTCTGCGTTGGCTAGGCAGCAGCAGCACTAACAACGCCGAGCGCCTAGCAGCCCAGCATCACGCAACACGCATGTGCTGGCTGGGGGTTATGCGAGAGGGCATTGCTTGCTGGCCAACAAGCAACACCAGCGATAAGAGCCTCGCCCAGCAGCATGCGTGGCTCGCTAGCAGCATGCATGTGCTGGCTGGTGCGCATTGCGTGCTGGGAAATGATGCGGTGCAGGCTAGCTGTGCTGCCTTGTGCACGCTAGCATGCTAGCTGGCTGCCAGCCCAGCAGCCATTGCTTGAGGCCAGTTTTGTGAGGGGGTTGGGACCAACCCTTAGGCAAAGCCTTCGGGAGCAAGGTAATGGTTCCCCCACCTACTCTTGGTCCTTACTTAACTCTATCTCTCTTCCCTTGACACCTGTTGCATTGTGATTGATTTGATTATTCATTTAATTTAAAATTAAAATAATTATCAATTTTATTCATCCTCCCACATTGGTTGGGGAATGAAAATCAAGGGTTCTTTTCCCTATAAATACCAAGGCTTGGGTATTTGGGAAAGAACACACTTGTGTGGAATAGTAAAGGAAACTCCATTATTGAGCATACCTTGAAATTCGTAAAACTCCAAGTTTATATTTTTTCTGGGCCTTGACTAACCTTCGACGCTTAGGACGATCAGGTCGGGTTCGAGGGTACGATCCCGTTGGAGGCCTCGCATTATCGAGGTTGAAGTAAGAGCTTGTTGTAAGAGTGAAGCACGCGTCGAGGGGGTCTTGGGACCGGGGCTTGGGGGGTTTCATTCCGCGTAGTGAGGGTCACTACGAAACCCTACAGCGGTATCGGAGCCATGCTCCTTTTAATTTTTGCAATTATTTATTAATTAAGGTGTTTTAAAGAAGATTTATTTTCTGGTTTTGCCTTTCTAATTGGATTAGAAGCTCATTTGAGAATCAAGTATGGGACTTGGTTGATTTGCCCGAAGGTTATACACCTATTAGCTGCAAATGGATTTTCAAATTGAAAACCGACAAATATGGAATTGTATATGTATACAAAGCTAGACTGGTAGCAAAAGGTTATAGGAAAATTCACGGAGTTGATTACAATGAAAACTTTTCGCCAGTCACCATGCTTATGTCCATCCAAATTACCCTAGCAATTGTCGCATATCACAATTATGAAATATGGTAAATGGGTGTCAAAACCGCATTCCTTAATAAAAATTTTAGAAGAAACTATGTACATGACACAACCCAAAGGTTTTGTAGATCCAAACAATGTTGGGAAGGTTTGCATGCTTAAGAAGTCCATTTATGGATTAAAACAGGCTAGCAGGAGTTGGAATCTGCGATTCGATGAAGCCATCAGCAAGTTTGGTTTTATCAATAATTCAGATGAGTCTTGTGTATACAAGAAGGTCACTGGAAGTGACAATGTAACATCGCATTCCTTGTCTTATATGTCGATGACATATATCTCATTGGAAACAACATTCCAATGTTGGAGTATGTAATGACTTGGGTTGGAAAATGTTTTTTAATGAAGGACTTGGGAGAGGTACATTACATTTTTCGCATTAAGATCTATAGGGATATATCTAAGAGGATGATTGGATTGAGCCAAAGTACTTTTATTGAAAAGGTACTGGCACGATTCAATATGGTGGAAGCCAAGAGAGGCCACTTACCCAATTCTCAGCAAGAAATAGTGTCCGAAGACACCCGATGAGTGAGAAAGAATGAATTAGATTCCATATGCTTCACTTATTGGATAGATTATGTACGTCATGATGTGTACAAGGCCAGATGTATCGTACGCCTTGAGTTTTACGAGCCGATACCGATTAGACCCAGGAGAGGCGCATTGGATTGCGGTTAATATCTTAAAGTACCTAAGAAGGAACAAGGATAAATTTCTGGTCTGTGGTGGAAATAAGGACTTTGTTGTTGAAGGTTATACCGACGCAAGCTTCCAGACATACAGAGACGACTTCAAGTCGCAATAAGCATACGTATTCTGTCTGAATGGAGGATTATTTAGTTGGAAGAAAGCTAAGCAAAGCACGATTGCAGATTTCATAAATGAAGTCGAATACTTAGCAACTTCTGAAGCAACTAAGGAGGTCGTTTGGATTCATAAGTTCGTTGGTGAACCTGGTGTTGTGCCCTCAATAAAGGGACCAATAGACCTCTATTGTGATAATAGTGGAGCTTTTGCTCGGGATAGGGAGCCAAGGGAACATTAGAAAGTCAAACATGTCATGAAGCGATTTCACATGATAAGGCAATGAAAGACCCAAGGTGAAATTAGAATTTGCAAGATTGGAATGGACGACAACGTAGCCGATCCACTCACTAAACTTTTTTCTCAAGTGAAACACAACAAGCATATTGAGGCAATGGCAATTAGGCATATCGGATACTGGCTTTAATTTCCCGGTTTATAATTTTTAATTAAGTTTTGAGATTTTAATGTATAACAATAAGTTAAACCATTCATTTATGGAGTAATTTTAATTTTTCGCAAATTATTATTCCATTTCTATTTAAATTTTGTTTTGAATTAAATAATGAGTCCATACAATTTGAGAATATACAAAACAAGGTGTCGACAATGTCGTGGATCAAGAAACACCTATTACGTGAACATTGAATATCATATCGAAACTATCCCTAGTCGAGGTCATTTGAAAGTTTGACGACCAATTAACGAGCGAGATTAGTGTGTTGTATGATTTATAACACTGTTTCTTGTGCTACAAGGACAAGATTGTTATAAATCATTTGCACAGGTATTAGTTTGGAACTATACCGGATCGACCTATAAGAATAGTTAAAGAGATTGAACAATCGTCATAAGTATATTACTCATTATGTCTATCCGAACCTCTTTCCTCAACCATGAGTATTGTTAGCTCTCTTGTTTGAATACCACTTTGTTTTGATGTTGTCAAATGTCTACCGTACAAGGGGATTATAAAGGCAACACTTGGGCGGCTAGGGCCTC